AAATGCCCTAGTATGGTTTTGTCACCATTTCCATAGCCCCACCAAAAATATTTTCCACCAGCCGCCACTGGTTAGTTTTCATGTTTGCACTTTAAATTTGCAAAATAAAACGTTTATTTGTCTAGAAAAACTAGCTGTCTTTATTCATGAAAATGAATTCAGATTTAGTCTATTTATGATGATTTCAGCTCAAAAATCATGTCAAGCAGCTCTCCCCTATATGAAAGTACATAAGACGCTTTTCATTTAAAAAAGTATCGGTATCGATAACATACTTGGTATCGGATCGAATCCAGATTTTGTGGTATCGCCCACCCCTAGTTCACAAGACATACAAGCCACAAACTGGCAATCGAAACATGCTAGGGACAGTGAATGAGACACACAGACACAGACACACACACCTTGAGGGAGGGAGGGACAGCTGATCGCCATGCAGCAATAAGCTGTTCCCGAGCAGAGAGAGAGAGAGCTGCTAGACACAACTCTTATTAATCCCTGTACCAGATAACCTATACTATCCAATGCTAACGGAGGCGAGACGTACGTTATTCACACGCTTATCCACACGTACGTTATTCACACGCTTATCCACACGTACGTTATCAACACGCATATCTAAGATAGCGCTTTCTAAGCTACGCCGCCGCCACGTGAGCGCGTACTTTGATCGCACCTATGATACGTCGCCGTGACGTCGGACGTCATGGGCTACACAAAATGTGTACATGTTTTGTTTTATAAAAATTGCCATGAGTGGAATTAACTAATACATAAATAGATGGATAGATAGATGGATATAAGTATATCTCATATCATTATACATTTTAAGAAAGACACACACATGTTAGATCCATGTTTTCAATTCATGAAGTTTATTGAGTTACTCCAGAAAATAAAGTGAAATGACCCACATGTTTGATTGACCTGGAATGATTAGGACTGTATCATAAGACAACATCACACACCGAAAAAAACAGAGCTGATCAAACATCTGTAATAATTACTGGGTATCATTCACTTATATCTAGGTGACATTTCAGTTCCCACTAAGTAGCCGCAGCAGTAGTTGTATGAGTGCGGCAATATTGGGGGTTGTGGTTGGCCCAGCCTGGGTAGTAGTCGTAGCTGTGGTAGTGGTGGTACTCTGCAAGAAAATCAGAAACATTCAGATTCAAATGTGGAGGAATTCTTCAGTATTTGACATATAGGTGTGTTGAATGTTGAATTAGAGAAGTTAAAGAAAGCGCTCACCTCTCCTGAATTTGACTCAGATGAGCTTGAACGAGCAAGTCGTTTATGTTCCATGTCATTCTGGAAAATAAATTCACAAGTTGCAAGTTTGAAACTGATTGTTATCGGATACAAATCATAAATGATATTGAGAATGGACATATTAAACTCACAGGACGAGCCAGAGCCAGGCTCAGGAGGCATCCAAGCACAAGAGCTAGCTTCAGCATGGTTACAGTGATCACACTGTCAAATGGAACAAATCAAGACTGATGCATTTACTACAAAATTGGCAAAATCACCACCAGCCTCACATATAAAGTACAGAAAGATAAGATATATTTACCTTCAAATCTTTGCACCTTCAGCAGTTTATCTCACAGAGAGTCGAGGAGGTTTTTGAGTTGCTATGAATGTTGAGCTTTCCTTATACAGTATACAGTAACAGGAGCGCATGTCATCCCATTACCAAACAGCAAGGTTTGGAAATTGTTATTTCTACCACCACATTTGAAGGTGTTGCAAATGATCCGAGATTGAAAACACTCCTAGATTTATGATAAGTTGAATTAATTTAATAGCTCAGATCAGAATGAACATCAATTGGATTTGTTTTCATAATCAGCAAACATTGTATATTAGCACTGTTATCTAGGTTTAGTAGGTTTACACTACACCCTTCAGTGTTGGCCAATCAGACAGAGATGTAATTAAGTAAATGTCTTGCATGGACTCTCTACTTGTGAGACTACCTGAGCCAGCTTTGTACATCATATAATACAAACATTTCACCACTGTGTACAGCATGTAAAATATTTCTGGAGGTATCTGAAGAGGATGAGAACGATATATGTGAATGCTAAGACAACAGTGTGTATTCCTGGAGACAGTTCGGTTGGAAAACATAATAGGATACATTGTTTTGTGGCAATGTGATAAAAAAATATGAATTGCTGACTATTTTTATATTTCATTGCAAGAGATAGGTTAGAAATATTAAACATATTTCGAACAGATTGCCAGTTGATTTGGACTGAAACAAAAATATTTTATTACATTTGCGTATATCCTGAAATTCCTCAAGGACTTGACTAGCAAGTCGAGCTACTGCCACTAGACAACAATGTGATCATTATTCTCAATCAATGACTTGCCTATTTTATAAAAATTAAAGCAAGTCGTTTAAATTATGGATCTTTTCCTAATGCTGTATTTCTCTAATAGTCCATTTGTTTTTAATGTAATGTTTTCGAAAGCTGTGTGTATGTTGGTCTAATCCCAGTATAGCAGCATGTATAAAAACTATATCGCAACCAGGGAACTGTTGGTTAAATAGAGAATGACCTGGATAGTGTCCTATAAAAGTGAAAATTAGAGTGTCAAATTGTTACAAGAAAGAGAGGGAAAATAAGACAACATGAACATGATTTGGTTGGGACGTCATCGCTAAAAAACACGAAAACACAATAAAAAAAAGCAATTTAAAGCTTCTAACAAAGATTATAATATCATCACCCAGATTTTACTGATATGAATTTGAACACCCACTGCTGTTTAATCACACCAAAGGAAAAATAGTAAGATGTCCTATGCATATCTTTTTAATCTTTGGGATTTCCATGATGACGTAAGCTAAATAATTGTTCAAAGTTTGGCTTTGCATGATGACTGTACTGTCTATCTCTCGACAGTCTTGGTGGAATCAAGATGGACGGAAACAACTCCTAGTTTTGATGATTGAATCAAATCTAAATAGGTTGTTAACCTTAGAAGAAAAAGGACAACAACAATACAACAATTAGGATCACACATATCCCATACACATTAAATCACATTCAATATAATAATCACACTTACTAGTGGCCTCTCCTGATTCCTCAATCTCAATGACGTTAATTTATTTCCCCCTCTATTTATAAAACATCAATAAACCCCGCGAATCTCCACCCAGATTTAAAGTAACACTCACATAAACTGAACCCCATTAATTTAACCCTCATACACCCAACACAAAACCATGAGTTTACAGCACACCTCCCACTTGGCCTCCTGGTCGGATGACCCAAGTAGGCCACCAACCTAAATAACCTTCCTCTGGTGGTGGTGTCCGAGGAGGTTCCTTCTTCTTAGTTCTCCACTTCGGAATCTTCAACGACCCCGAAGCCAGGTCCCTCCGCAGAGGCACAGGTTTGACTTTTCTGTTGCCCAGGACTCTTGCCTCCCACTTTGCTTGACCCGCCGCTCGGCCTCTTCTAGTCAGCCATTTCTCTGCAGCTCGCCGGACCCATGCGACCACTCCACATAGCCTAGCCAGACTGCTGAACCTCTCTGGTTTCACCAGGTTCACAACAGCAATGCTCCGAAACTTTCCTTCCGGTCTCTCTGTCAAGACTGAAGCTTCTTCCCTTTCTGAGGTTTTTGGGGATCCACCAACCTTAACTAGGAACTCCTCAGCCTCTGCGTCCTTTCCACTGGTGTCATCATGGATAGGGGTTTTGTTTGACTGGGCTCTGGTGAGTATTGCCGAGAATGCCTTTCTTTGAAGCTTGCCCACACTCTCTCTGGCACCAGTTGCCACCTCCGCGACCGACTTCATGGGCCATTCTTCTAGCGGCCTCACCAGGAACTCTGGTCCCCTCTGCCACTCTGAGCCCTCTCCCAGGTCTTCAGGAGTTGCTCCTCTTGTTACGATGTAAGCTTTTAATCGCCCTGGGATCCACCACCAGTCAGTTACTGGTCCGGCCTTCTGGATCTCGCCGACCCTGTTTGCGAAGAAAGTCTGATACCCGTAGTTCTCTCGCTGGATGGCTCCCAGGACCGTATGACTGTCAACAAAGTGGAACCAGCGCTCCACCTCCAACCGTCCGTGCTTCTGCAAATACCCTTTTAACCGAGCTGCAAAAACCGCACCGCACATCTCAGCTTTGACTACGTCTCCCTTTTGGTCGAGAGGTGTTAGCTTGGCCTTTGACTTTTTTTATTTTTTTTTTGTCTTTTCTGTAGACTTTTCTTTTTTTTTTTTTACCTTTTTTTTCCGGCGTTTTTTTTTTTGTCCCAAGCCTTCTCCTTCCAAAATAACGGCATTGTGTTTTTTTTTTCCCGGTGGTCCCTTCCCTGGGGTGAAGGTCCTTTTTTCCCCCTCAACGCAGCACAAAAACCTTTCTCCCTTTTCTTTGTGTTTATTTTTTTGTTTCAAATAAGGAAAAACGTTTCCTTCTTCAAAGTTTTCCCGCAAAAAAAACCGCACCCCCGAACTTCTCTTTTTTTCCTGGACCGAAAAAAAACACTTTTTTTTCCTTTTTTCCCCAATCCCTTTTTCCGTAAAAAACGGCGCAAACAAGAAACCCTACAGGTGCCTTGCACCCCATTTTTTTTCTTTTTTTTTTTCCTTTCACGTTGTCCCTGTCCAAAAAGGAGACGGTTTTTTTTTTTGTCCCCCTTTTTTTCCCCTTCGAAAAACGGTTTTCTCCCCCTTTTGGAAAGGAGTTCAACCCCTGGGTGGGGGTGATGGTAAAGGGAAGACCAAGGTTTTACCCTTTTTGGTTTTTTTTTTCGAAAAAAAACAATGGTTTTCCCCCTTTGAAAACCCTTTTTTTCCCGTTCAACTCCTCCCAATTTTTTCCCCCCTTTCGATTTGTCGTTTTCCTTTTTTGTTTTTTTTTTCGATTCGGAAAAAGGTTTTTAACCAAAGGGGTCCTCCGCCGCCGCCTCGTAAGGTACTTTTCGAAAAAGTTCATTTTTGTTTTTTTCGTTTTTTTTGTCTTTGGAAAGTCAAAACTGTTTCCTCGCCGAATCCTTCCTAACCTTTTTTCCAACCCTTTGGAAAAGACCTTTTTTCCTTTTTTAAATCCTGAACCCCCTGGCTTCCGCCCCCGGGTTTTGGGACAAGTAGTACTAACGACAACCTTTCAAAGGTTTTTGAAAACCGGTTTTTTTTGCGCCCCCGTTTTTTTCTAAAGCCTTCGAAGAAAACTAAACTGGAGCGGTTAAGTTTTCCCTTGTTGGTTTTTGATGTAAAAGGGTTTTTTGATTGGTTGTTGAGCCCAGTAATCCGTTCTCTTTTTTCTTTCCAGTGAGACTAACAAACGTTACCTTCAAACCTTTCCCTTTAAACTTGGCAAAACTTTGTTCAGTTTTTCTGCTTTCTTTTTTGGAGGCGCTCTCACCTTCCTTCAGTTTTTTTTGGGGTTTTTTTTTCCAATTGAACCAAAACTCCCCCGAAGGTTGTTTTTTTCCCGAACCAAAAAACAATACCAGACCTCCCTCTAGCGATTTTTTTCAAAAACCGTTAAGCCTCGCAAAGGTTTTCCCCTTTGGAACTTGTTTTCGATTTTTCTTCCCAAAAAAGAAAAGGCCCCTCCAAAACCGTTTTTGCCTTCCCCTTTTTTGACCTTTTATACAAAATATACCATGGTCCCTGGTACAGCTCGAAAGAGTTTTTAGTTCCAGTTGTTTCTCTCCCCCCTTTCCCCTGAGCGAAAGGTGTTTTTTTTCTTGACTCCTATAAACCCTCCCCTGAGCAGAATAAAATTTTTTTCCCTTCCGGGGTTGGACCCCAAAAAAAATTTTTTTTTTTTTTGGCATACCCCGCCCTCGTGTAAAAAAAAAAAAAGGGGTTCCAGACAAAGACTCCTAACATTTTTTTCAAAAAAACCGTTAAACGGTGGTCAAAGACTCTGCCGTTGAAAGAAACAAGAAAAAACAAGCACAAAAAACATATACACACAGTACAGAAAACGTCACAAAAAAAAAAAACATTGTCTCTTTTTCATTTTTTTTTTTTTTTTCAACTTCTTTCGCTTTCTAAGACCTCCCCTTTCTTCCCTCCTGGTTTTCTTTCGCGGAAAAAACTGAAAGTTCCCTTTATTTTCCCGCACTCCTGGTCCCTTTTTAATTGTTTTGAAACGTTTTTTTGTTTCCCACTTTCCTTTTTCCAAAAAAAAAAAGAAGCCTCAACCCCACCTTTTCCACCCTTTGTTCCCGTAGGCCAAACGCCCGGAAAACACCTTTTTTGGGTCCCCCAACAAACCCCCCACCCACAGCCCGAACGCCTGTAAACCGGTCCCGGGTCCTTTCTTTTTTTCCTTTTTACTGGGACGTTCCTTTCTTTTTCCCTTCGACCTTTCACTAAAAATTTTTTTTCCTCCCCCCGAACAAAGGAATTGAGTAAAACCGGTTTTCCTAACTTTTTGGTTTGACCGGACTTGGGGGCCGGTGACAACCTGCGTAGAAATTTTTGGGTACCCCCTTGGCCTTC